GAGTACCTGCCTCCCGAGCAGCAGCAGGCATGAGAGACAGTAGAGGGTCCTGCCACCCCACTGCCCGCTCCCCTGCCCACTGAGACCGATGAGGAGGAGATGGAGTGCCTGCCCTCCGAGCGCTGCAAGCAGCCCCGGGAGCGGGATCATGTCTGTCCCTCAAAGCGGATGGGGATCGATCTCCCAGAGACGGTCCTCGACCCAGATACAGAGGGGGGCCTGCTAGGGAGCCTGGCCATTGAGGGCACTTTCACCGGCCTCACTGGGAAATCCCCTCCCAGAGTACAGCCCCGCCGGTTCTCTGTCGGCAATATCCAACTCCTTCTGGAGAAACCCCCCTGGGTGGCCCACAGCTATGGAGGTCTCCTCAACCTCTTGGACCAGACCAAGGGCCAGAGGAACGTGGCTGAGAGTATTCGGCAATGGTGCCCGGACCCCGCGCAGTTTCTCAGCACCGCTAGCGACGCAGCGAGGCTCATGCGCCGGGACCCGGGCACACGTCAACATGCCTTCCGGCTCGAGAAGCTGCTGACCCGGGTGAGGGAGGTGTGGGGCCAAGGCGGGCCCATGGAATAGGGTAAGGCAATGCTAGGCATCCCCCTGTCTCCGCGTTTTTTGCCCGGTATCTGTCACCTTCTCTCCCACCGGTACCCTGCCTACCCTTCCTCCCTCTTCTCCTGTTCATGGTGGTTACCACAATTGCCTCGCTCAACACCAACGGCTGCAGAGACCCAGTGAAGCGGACGACTGTCCTGGAGGGCTTGCAGCAAAAGTGCCTGGCGATCGCCTTCCTCCAGGAGACGCACAGCGATGAACACGTTCAAGCTGACTGGTACGCCACCTGGAGAGGCCGCTTGTTCCTGAGCCACGGCACCAACCTCAGCGCAGGAGTGGCAACCCTCCTCTTGCCGCAGCTGTTGTACAACTCGGCGGTGGCACGAGAGGTCATCCCCGGCCGGCTGCTGACTGTCCACATCACCCTGGCACACCAGAGACTGCTCCTTATCAACGTCTATGCGCCCACTGACAGGAGAGAGAGGATTGCCTTCCTAGAGACCCTGGGTGACCTCTTGCGTGATGCCAGCGAGAAGGATGACCTGCTCCTAGGTGGGCGGGGACTTCAATTGCACCGTCGACGCACTGCTAGACCAGATGGGGCCGGAGCCACACCTGCCTTCGGCCCACAAGCTGCAGACCGTGCTGGAGGCGGCGGACCTTATCGACACCTGGCGGGTCCTCCACGCTGACATGAGACAGTACACCTGGGCAAAGATGAGTGCCAGCGGGCTTGCCATGGCCTGCTTAGACCACCTGTACATCGGCCAGCACCACATGCCATTGATGCGCAGCAGCCACATCGTTCCATCTGGCCTATTGGACCACGCCTTGGTCTGCTGTGAGCTGAGCCTGCCTGGAAGAGCACACATGCGGGCCCCTTACTGGTGCCTCAACGTCAGCCTGCTGCAGGACACCCGCTTCAGGGACTGCTTCGCCCACCTCTGGAGGAGCTGGGAGGCGGTGCGAGCAGACTACCCCTCCTGGCGCCTGTGGTGGGACATGGGGAAGGTCCAGATCAGGGCGTTCTGCCAGCAGTTGGCGCGAAGCGACCTCTGCCGCCGCGCCCAGGAGCTGGAGGAGGATGTGGCGGAGCTCGAGGCAGCCCTGCTCCACACGGGCAATGAATTGGCGCTCCTCGAGAGCCTACGCTCTTGCAAGAAATACCTGCGAGAGCTGGCGGAAGGCACAGCCCGCGGCGCGCGGGTCCGGGCCCACTGCCAGGAGCTGGCAGAGGCCGACGCCCCGACCGGCTTCTTCGTCCTGGAGAGGCGGCAGGCCACGGTGAAGACGCTGGACCACCTCAAGACCCCGGAGGGCCGGCTGCTCATGGACCTGGGCGAAGTGTGGGAGCATGCCGTCGCCTTCTACCGGGACTTGTTTGCGGCTGCGCCCATCTGTCCGCGGGCCGACCAGGAGCTGCATCGGGACCTGCTGCGCCTGGGCGCTTCGCAGGACAAGGCCCTGGAGCGCGAACTCTCCCTAGCAGACCTGGAGGCCGCGGTGGGGGGACTCACCTCGGGCAGGGCCCCGGGCCTGGACGGCCTGCCCGCGGAATTTTACAGAGACTTCTGCCCCTCCTCGGGCCCAGCCTCCTCCGCGTCTTCTGCAACAGCCTCGCTGAC